CTTGTTGTTAGCAGGGACTCAAAGGCAGCCAGGGAATTCTGGGAAAGCTTCATAGTGATAAAAGGGAAAGCTTCAGGAGTGCTCTGATTGGAGGCTGTTAGCCTGGGGAAGCTGGAGGCAGGTTAACTAGAAGCAGGGCACCCTATGTGATTGGTTTAGGGAGCGGATCTGGCTTTCCCTGGTTGGACCTAAGTGGGAAGTGGAGAGTGGGGGCAAAAAAGGAGGGGGCTGGTGGTCACTGACCAAGTCCTGACCATCTACACCAATTGCTGCAGAGGTAGTGGTTTGGCTTCCCGGGCTTGTTGCTGCAGAGGTTGTAGGTCAGAGTTCTATTGTAATATATACAGTCTGGCCATTGTCCATTTGTATATTCAGTCCCTCAGGGCTAGTGGTTAAGTTCAGCACCGTCTGCTTCAGTGGCCCGGGTTCAGTTCCCAGGTGCAAACCTATATCACTCCTCAGCGGCCATGCTGTGGCAGTGACCCACATACAAAAGAGAGGAAGACTGACACAGATGTTAGCTTAGGGCGAATCTTCCCCAAGCAAAAAGAGGAAGATTGGCAACAGATGTTAGCTCAGGGTGAATCTTCCTCAGCAAAAAAAAAAAAAAAAAAAAAAAACAGAAAAGAAAAAGAAAAAAAGAAGTCCCTCAGGAGATACACACTGAGTATTTAGCTTTGAAGGAGCATAATGTCTGCAGCTTAGTGTAAAAAGGTATTATAAAACAAACATGCTAGAGTCCTCAGTTTCCCCATTGCTTCTACTGTTGTCCCTTTCTTTTTTTGCTATCTACCTCTCCCCCTCCCACATGAAATCTGATTAGCAGATAAGCCACAAGGCATACAAAAATAATTCTTGGAAAATAGTGTTCTGATGGTATGGGGCTCTGATCGAGTGAGGGGCACAAAAACAGGAACGACTCCCCAACTGTGAGCTTCTCTTAAAGTAAAACACTGTCCCCTAAGCCCAAATTGCAAGGACACATACTCAACCTTCCTCTATAAAAACCCTAATCCTGCTCTAATCGGGGAGTTACCTGATGCACATTGGCTGAATAAAGCCTTTAACCTCTATCTCAGTCACTTAAATCATTTTCTTAGGACATTATTTTTAAATGATGGGGCCTGTAAGTATGGATGTATGTATAAAAAGAGAGAAAGCAAACGTTGCAAAAGTTAACAGTTGTTATATCTAGGTGGAGGGTATTTGGATGTTCATAGTACAATTCTTTCAACTTTTGTGTAGGGTGAAAAATTTCTATTAAAAAGCTGGGTGTAAAATAAATAAGCTATCATTGCCTGCTATCTAGGGACATATGCAAATGGTTGTGGCTGTCGGTCCGGAGGTCCCTGCTCAGCCATTGAACCTGACACTCTTATGAGGTTTTCTTGACCTCTGTCAGTGGAAGACAGACAATATCTTACAATATTGTAAAATATTTTTCACCTACTAAAGGAAGGTATGCAAGACAAGACTGATCAGAAGACTGTGGAGATTACTCCTTGCATCTACTGGAGGACAAAGAGGTGCTCATCATTATGTCCTTAGCTGCAGATATGAAAATACTCTGACCTTGCATCCTTCCTCATTTTCTGCTGGATGCCCACATAAATGTGAAGATTTGACACTGGCCTGCTCCAGGATGCAGGACAGTCAGTGGTAGAGTTTAACAGGACATGCTGATCTTCCTATTTCAAGTGGCAGTCCCCCGTATTTCCAACTCACCTCACCCAGCCCCATCCATTTCCCTTTAGCAGTTACCGCCTTTTAACACTGTTTATTGCCTCCCTCTCCCACGAGGATGTCAGGTCCGCGAAGCTAGGGATTTGGCCACTGTTTTGCCTCACCACTGACTGGTGATCAATAAACATTTGATGAATGAACAAATTGAGTCTTCTGCACTCACAAGTTCTCTCTTTAGTATTTCCTGTACTACTCATACCAAATCAATTTTATAATTAGTTGAGTCATCCAGAGATGGCTGCAGAGTCTTTTGGAGGGAATAATTAATCTTTTAAGAAAATGAATCCCATGTATGTGCTTTGCCGCTCTCTACATGCGTGGTAAAGGTACCAAAAATAAAGCAGTTGATTACTCCACATATGCAAGAGGCAGAAATCACTGCAGTATCAGCACAAACGAGTAAAGAAGCAAACAGTCAATGAATAAGATCATTTCTGATACAAAGAAAGGCTTTGAAGAAAACTAAAGCATGGTGAGGAGCTGGAGACTGGTGGGGCAGGTCAGGGAAGAAAGACATCTGAAGAAAAGACATTTGAGCAGATACATGAGTGGCATGATGGACTGAGCCATGGAGCCAGAGCATCTTTGCCAGGGACCACAGTAAGTGTCAAGGCCATGGAGCTCCTGCCTCCCTGCCTATCCTACCAGTGGGTGGTATCTCTGGGCTGGGGCCAAAGATTTTCTTGCTCCATTCAAGGAAGGGACAGCACTTTTCTCCATGTAGACTTTCTCTTTTTACCTTTAGATATTCGTCTAACAGTTTAATTTTCCCAATTTATTTAAATATTTAGTTAGTTTTAATCATACAATTAGCACTCAATGCACTTACCACCCAAAAGAAAAGGTATGGCCTTGTCAATAACTTCCATCTATCCATGTGGCCCCCCAATTCATTGCCCTGAGGTGAACATCACCCTGAATCCCAAGTTCATCAGTTTTTTATTTCCTTTTGATGCAATTTTATCACAACTACACAAAATCCTAAATAGTTCATGTTCTATATATCAGTAGCTTTTAATTTTATAAAAGTGTGTTATGCTGTATATAACCTTTTGGGAATTGCAGGTTTTTTCCCCTTAATATTCATCCACATGGTTGGATATTGTTCTAGTTCATTCATTTTGACTCCTGTTGATGAGCATCCATTTTCGCATCCAGGTTTTGCTGTTGTGAACAGGATGCCATGCATAGCCTAGGTTTCCTGTGCAAGTGTTCCTCTTGGATATATTTCTAAGAGTAGACTGGCTGGATTGTGAGGTATGTAAATATTCACTGTAGGAGGGAATGCCAACTGTTTTCTAAAGTGGTTACACTGATTTATATTCCTTCAACAGGGCAAAAAGATCCTATGGGTGCACATCCTCCCCAACACTTAGTATTGTCAGACTTACATTTTGCAAATTGAATGGGTGTAAGATATCATCTCATCATGTCTTATTTGCATTTCCCTGATCACTAATGACTTCAAACATCTCTTCACACATTTATTGGCTCTTTCCTTCTTCTCTGAAATGGTCTAACAGATAGACCTATTTTTTTTAACACAACTGTAGTACTATTATGACACCCAGCAACATTAACAATGATTCCTGGCACTCAATTACAAGTGTATGCGTGCCAAATGTGCTTCCACTAATTATGTTTCTTCTTTCATTTATTCCTGCAACAAACATCCAGACCAGGGCAATGAGGGCAGAGAGAGAATCTGGACCGGGAGAGTCCAACCCTCTAAGAAACTAAAAATTACCTCAGACTATAAAAATCTGTCCTGCCATTCATCAGGCTGGGAGAACAGACACAGATAAAGTCAGATGTAAAATTAACAAGAAACATTATTTCTCCCTAGGACGTGCTGCAGCTATGATGCCATAAAGAATTCCCACTTTGAGTGACTACTGCCTTCTTAGGCACTGAGACACTTTGTTCTTTACAATCATAGACTATCAGAAACTGCTGTTTGAAATGACACCAGTATGAATGAAATATCCCACTCTTGCTGGAGATTCTAAATCACATAGACACAAAGAAGCAGGCAAGATTTCCAACCCCGGTGCAGAGACAAAGGGTATCTAGACATAACATTCTACATCTATCTTAACTTTACTCTTTCCAAGGAAACAGGACTCTGGGTTCACTTTACAGTCCGCATACAGCCCTGCTTTGCTTTGAGCCTACCAAAACATAGCTTCATTTACATTTCATCTGAACTTCACCATCCCTCAGGATCCTATACCTCTATCTTTTCCTTTGTTTAGTGAGCCGTCCCATGGTTCCTCTGGTGTGTGGTCTCCCTCATTGATTGATGGATCTGTCAGACTACAAATTAGTCCCAGATGGTCTTAGGCTGATTGGAGTAGGATGCCCTTACATTCTAGATTGTCAAACTAAGGCCCAGAGGGGATGTGACTGGACTGAGAGCATCCAGCAAGTCCACATCTGAGCCTGTGCCAGCTCCCCTCAAAATGCCTTCCTCACCTGCGGCTTCAGAAAGGCCTTCAGCGGGCCCAGGGCCTTCTAGCTCTGTCACGGGGTTCCCTGGGGGAGGAGATATTTGAACTTGGTTTTGAAGGATAAGAGGGCATTCTCAGGTGAAGGGCAGCACGACTTCTGCCCCTTCTGCCCCATGACCTTTCTCTCAGAAGGGCAGGAACATCTCCAGAACGTCCATATTGGAGGTGAGAAGGAGCAGCAAAGCTTCTGAAGGGCAGAATCAGTCTTGTCTTAAAGCTACATTTGCAAAGTAAGGGCCCTATCATCACGTAGATTTTATTTTATGAGGAAATAAAAATAATAAAGTTCCCTAAAGATGTTTTTACAGGCATATTGCATTAGATTAAGGAAAAATAAAAAAATTATTATTGGTACATACTTTTATCTTAGCTGGGGTAGCTGGAGGGGGAGATAATGCGGATTATGGGAGCATTCAAACCCCACAGCCAATCCCCACAAGCACAGCAGAGGGGAATCTAACACTGGCTTCTCCCCCAGCGCTACAGCCCAGGAGGGCTTGCAGCTCCCTGATTTCTTCCCCTCCTTCCCCCCTGGTATGTTCCAGGAGAAGCCTGTAACCAGTCTGACTTCTCCCCGCTTCTCATCCTGTGGTATGTGCCAGGAGATAACAGCCATTGGCACCTCTGCGTCTTTCCAGAGGCCTCTCAGCTTCTCCGAACGTTACACAGATCCATAGGGTACAGATCTAAAGACCCCTCCTCCAGGGAGCCTGCCTAGAGAAACGTCCCCACCCCTGCTCTTCCCACCTGTGAGACAGCTCCACCGCTCCGCTCTGCGAGTGTAGAGGTTTCCTCATTCTCGGTACGGAACGAACACTCCTCCAACATGGCGCACCCCGTGGGGAAGCGCGACCTGGGCGCGGCCATGTTCCCCGCCTGACAACAATGCCCAGGCGCACAGAGCGTCCCAAAGCACCGCCTCCGTCACAGCGCCATGTCGACTCTTGGCCGACAGCGGCTTCGAAAGTGGTTTTGCCCATGCGCAGAACCACGCCCCCTTCGTGCGACGCCCCAAACCCCGAGAAGGGGCGGTGCTAGGGGTGGTGACCGGAAGCCGCTGCGGTTCTCAGCCGCGGGTTAAGAGTTGCTGTCGGGAGGTTGTCGCTGCTGTGTGCTGGAGGGCTGCGGAGGTGATGGGCGGCCCGGGAGGGTGAGTGCTCGGGGAGTGTGTGTGGTCAGGATGGAATAGCTTGTTTGGCTGTAGGTAGTTGGATGATTCGTTCATTATTTTGCAGGTTTTCCTCCTGTCAACGTTAAGGTCTTAAAGTTCGCTCTAAGACCCACAGGGTTTGGTGCGTTGTGTTCTAAGTGTTTTCTAAGAGTTGATAATTTTTCTTTTGCCCACGAGTTATTTGGAAGTGCGTTTTCAGTTTCCAAAAGTTTATCTTTTTAGTGGATTTCTAACCTTAGTTTTCTGTGGTCAGAAAAATGTCTACGCGAAATTCTTCTTTGAAATATGAGGAGACTCATGGCCTAGTGTATGGTGGTTTTTTTATAGATGTTCCATATATAACTTGAAAATAATATTTGAGTGTTTAGTTGTCAGTTTTGTCGTACAAAATTTGTACTCTTTTTTGTCTGCTGCTTCTACTACTGAGAGAGGAGGGAAAAATTCTCCACTGTGATGGTGATTTGTCCTTTCTGCTGTGCGTGATCCATTTTGAATTAAGTTTTGTGTAAAGTGTGAGACTTAAATTGAGGTTCATTTATTTGAATGTTCAGTTCAAGCACCATTTGTTAAAAAGGTTGTCTTTCCTCCATTGACTTATTTTGCACCTTTGGGAAAAATAAATTGGTGATACTTGTGTGTGACTATTTCTAGGTTCTCTGTTCTGTTTCGTTGATCTGTCTATTTTTATCATGAATGGGTGTTGAATTTTGTCAACACTATATGAATTTATATGATCTTGTGATTTTTCTTTTTTAGCCTGTTAATATGGGAGAATACACTGATTGATTTTTTAATATTGAACCAGCCTTACATTCCTGGAATAAACCTCACTTGGTAGTGGTGTATAATTCTTTTTTATATATTGCAGCAATTCATTAGCAATTACTTCTTTTTTTTTGAGGATTTTTGCATCTAAGTTCATGAGAAAGATTGGTCTGTAGCATTCTTTTTTTGTGCTGTCTTTGTCTGGTTTTAGTATTAGGGTAATACTAACCTCATAGAACGAATTGGAAAGTGTTCTCTTCTATTTTCTGGAAGAGATTGTGTAGAATTATGCTAATTTTTCTTTAAATGTTTGGTAGAATTCTCCAGGGAAACCATGTGGGCCTGGAAATTTCCTTTTGGAAATGTTTTGATTATGGCTTCAATTTCTGTAGTAGTTATGTAACTATTCAGATTGTCTATTTCCTATTTTTTCAGAGTATCTATGTAATAGTGGGTGAGTTGTTTGAGTTTGTGTTTTGTGAGGAATTGGACTATTTTATCCAAGTTATTGAATTTATGTCCTTAAAATTGTTTGTGGTATTCCCTTCCTTTCCATTTCATGAATGCAGGATTCATAGTTATAGCTCCTGTTTCATTTCTGATATTGATAATTTGTACCTTCTCTCTTTATCTTTGTCAGTCTTGCTGGAGGATTACCAATTTTATAGATCTTTTCAAAGAACCAGGTGTTTGGTTTCATTGATTTTCTCTATTCTTTTTCTGTTTACAATTTCATTGATTTCTACTCTTATGTTTATTACTTCCTTCTGCCACTTTGCTCTTCTTTTTCTGGGTTCTTGAGGTGGGAGCTAAGATTATTGATTTAAGACCACCTTAATTCTTTTCAAATATAAGCATTTGGTACTATAAATTTCCCTCTCAACACTGCTTTATCTGCATCCCACAAATTTTGATATGTTATGTTTTCATTCATTACTTTTTAATTTCCCTTGAGACTTCCTCTTTGATCCATGGATTATATAGAAATGTATTATTTAATTTCCAAGTGTTTGGAGACTTTTCTGTTATTGATTTCTGGTTCGATGCTGTTATAATCAGTGAACATGCTCTGTATGATTTCAATTTGTTGAGGTTTGTCTTATGACCCTTGGTATGGTATATCTTGGAGAATGTTCCATGGGTACTTGTAGAGACTATGTATTCTATTAAGTTTGGCTGCGGCAGTGCTGGTATGTTCAGTTAGGCTATCCTTTTCTTGGTCCTTTGACTAAGGGGAGTAGGCTTTTCCTAGAGCTTTTTCATCTGTGCCTGTTGACAATTCTGAGTAATAAGCTTCTCCAGTGCCCTGTTGGTGATATATGGGAAGGAAAGTGAAACCCAGGGAACTCACCACTGTGTTATTCCTCAGGCCCTGAGGTCTGTGGGCTGTCCACCTTTCCTTTTTCCTTTCAGAGTCTTCCAATTTGTATTTGTTGTGTTACATCAATTTTTTTCTAGTCTCTTCTATACTTATTGTTCTCTTCTGTGTTTTTTCCCCAGTATTAACTTTGTTAATTTATATTTTGCTAGGGAAGCACTTGTTTCACATCATTATTAAAATATTTTGCTATACAGTTATGCATAATATCCTGCAATAACTGCTTTAAAACACTGCCCTATTTCAGAAAGATTTTTCCTCTCTCATTTCATATGTGTGTATTATATATATATAATGTATGTGTGTATTATATATATAATTTACATATAATGTATAATATATGTATATTATATAATGTATGTGTGTGTATGTGTGTATATATATATATATATAGAGACTCTTCTCCTTTATGTGATTTGCAAGGGGATTATCTATGGCATTGGTTGTTTCAAAGAACCAGCTCTTTGTTTTCTTTAAATGCCCTATTGTTATATTTATTTGACTTATTTAAGATTTTATTATTAATTATTACTTTCTGAGTTGGGTTTTTTGTGGGTTTTTTTGCTTAATTTTCTTTTTTCTGCTTCTAGTGTTTTAGGTTGAATTCATAGCTCTTTTCTGTTATATTTATTTTTAATTAAAAATACAGTCATTTAAAGCTGTAAATTTCACTCTGTATAACTTTAGTGTGTTCTATGACTTCTGGTAAAAATACAGAAGCTATATTGATTTCCCACTTTGATCCTGGATTATTTAAGAAAGTGGTTTTTTTTCTTTTAAAACAGATTTGTTTAGATATACAAAACAGATTTATTTAGATATATTCCAATACCATAATTTTTTTAAGAAACAGATTTATTTAGATATATTTCAATACCATAAAATTCACCTATTTAAAGTATACAATTTAGTGGTTTTTAGTACATTCACAGAGTTGTGCAACCATGGCCACAATCTAATTTTAAAACATTTTCAATACCCCAGAAAGAAACCTTGTATATGTTAGCAGACATTCACCATTCCTGCCACACTACACTCCCAGCTCTAGGCAACTACTAATCTATTTTCTCCCTGTGCATTTGCCTATTTTGGACATTTCACATGAATGGAGTCTTAAAATATGTGGTCTTTTGTGACTGGCTTCTTTCATGTCAGATAATAATTTCAGGGTTCATCCATGTTGTAGTATCAGTACTTCTTATTTTCGTTGCCAAATAATATTCCATTGTATGGATATACCAAATTTTGTTTATCCATTCATCAGTTGATGGCCATTTAGGTGGTTTCCACTCTTTGGCTACTATGAATAATACTGCTGTGAATATTTGTGTGCAAGTTTTGGAGTGGACATGTGTTTTCATTTCTCTTGGGTAGATACCTGGGAGTGGAATTGCTGGATCATATGGTGAATCTATGGGTAACATTGTGAAGAACTTCTAAACTGTTTTTCAGAGTGGCTGCGCCATTTTTACCTCTCTAACAGCAATGTATGAGAGCTCCAATTTATTCACATCTTGTCAGCGCTTATTTCTTTTTTTTCTTATTGTAGCCATCCTAATGGATGTGAAGTGGTCTCCTAATGATTGGAAAATTTTGGGTTTTTTTTTTTAAACATTTTAGGCTTTGTAGGCTGTATGGTTTTTATTTTTAAAGATTGGCACCTGAGCTAACAACTGTTGCCTATCTTTTTTTCCCCATTCTTCTTCTCCCCAAAGCCCACCAGTACATAGTTGTATATTCTAGTTGTGAATGCCTCTAGCTATGTGGGACACCACCTCAGCATGGTTTGATGAGTGGTGCCATGTCCCAGCCCAGGATCTGAACCGGCGAAACCCTGGGCCGCCGAAGCAGAGCGTGGGAACTTAACCACTCGGCCACGGGGTCGGCCCCTGGAAAATTTTGGTTTTGATTTGAATTTCCCTAATGACTAATGATGTTAAATATTTTATACTAGATCAGAGAATGTAGCTTGTCAATTCCCAACATTAAAACATCTGTCGGGTTTTTATTAATGGATACGTGCATGTGTATGTGTGTTCACACACTTGTATGCTTACATATATATATGGATATACATAAATGTCCAATGTGTTTTATTTTTTTAAATTTATTTTTGAAAATTCAAGTTATTTAAACTAACCTGTGGGCAAGTTATTTAATGGAATTTTGTAAAAGTTCCATAGGCATAAGGAAAGAAAGCATATTCTGTCTTTCTTTGGTACGGCATCTTTATGTGTTTAAAATTTAACTTATTCACGCCTTTTATTTTACTCCTTATTTATTTTACTTTCTTGTTTCCTCTTCATGACGTTTCTCACTTCTGTCTTGTGAAGTTCCTCTTCATTTTACGTGAATATTTTCCCTTTCTCAACTAGAATGACTAAATCTGTAGTGCCTCTGTTAGTTGATCACAATAAAATTGTACCTCACCTTGGATGCAGAGACGCTCTTTCCTCCCTAGTTGCCTCAACAGGAGAAACAGTTTTACTTCTGGATATTTTTGAGGTAATTTAAAACTTTTATCCCAGGCTATTAGTATTTTCCTTATGGCAGTCTCTTCTGTTTCAAGAAACTTTACTTAAATTTTTTATTTGAGATCACAGTCATGTTTTCAACATTTATTAAACAGAACCACGTTTATTTTGAGCCTACCATGTAAAAGGTACCATGTGGTGTAGTGTTGAGAATGTGAACTTTGAATCCAGGTAGACCGAGTTTCACTTAAAGTCACTAAACCTCTGTTCTGTATGCATAAAATGAAATAATAATAATTATAGCAACACATAGATGACAGGATTGTTGTGCAAATTAAATGAGGTACCTGCTTCTGTACATTAGATGATTCTTTATAATAATAGTGTTTGCTAATATGAATTAATTGTTTACCTGGGCCAATCTGGTGCTAAGTGCCTTACAAACATCATCTCATTTAATTTTCACAACCACTTGAGATAAATAATTTTGATGCCTTTTGAAAAATAAAACTGAAGAAACGTTTTCATATTCTCATAGCTAAAATTTGGCAGAGCTAGAATTTAAAGCTTTATTAATTTTAGTCCAAGTCTCATGGTCTTGCTCATATTCCATTTTGATGAGTAACTAGAATAGGTATGGACTGGATTTTGTCTACCCCGCAGTATCCAGTACTGTGAACTGTACTTTGGTGCCACCAGGGAATGTTTGTGGGGTGAATGTGAGTGACTGACCATGTGGACACTATCTTTCCAGGTTTCTTGGTGTCTCTGTGGAGTCCCTGGGCCAGACCCCATAGCGAAGGCTGCAGGATCTTCTCCGGCCCCAGCAGCTCTGGTTGAGTCCACAGACCCTGCCTGGCCTCAGGCTCCTGGGAAGAGCAGAGTTGTCAGCAAGAGAGCCCGAGGGCTGAGGCCCAGCCGGAACATGCCAGCTAACCAGAATTCTCCCGGGCCATCCCTGGCCCTGACTGCAGGGGGACGTGACAACTCCTGTGAGGTGAGGAGGAGGAAGAGGCGCCCCGGGGCAGGAATTCATTCAGAAGAAAAGATAGTATCTCTTTATTTTAATTTGTATGACTTTTTTACCAGGCAGGATAATCCACCCCCCCATTTTTATTGGTCATTCATTTCCCTTGTGTGAAGTTCCTTCTTCTGCCCATTGCTGATTTATTTAGCTTAGCTTATGGATTTTTAAAGAGTTATTTAAATGTGATAACCCTTTATCATTTTATATGTTTTGTGAATATTTTTTGCCACTTTGTAATTTGCAATTAATTTTTAGTTTTGTTTACAAGTGGTAAAAGGTGTCTAATAGTTCTCTAAGTCTTAAGGCTCTTCCCTGCTGTGTTTCTCCCAGATTCCAGCTTCCTAGAGGCAAGTGCTCTTAATCTTTTTAACAGATTCTGTTTGCTTTAGTGTGGGGCATTTTCTATTGACTTTCCACTACAGAAAGTAGAGATTTGGTTTTTACATACACCCCCACTCGCATACACATTTGCCTATAAATATCGTTGTTTTGATGAGATCAACCGTCAGTTTACTACTGTGAGTGTTTATAGTTGACTCATGTAGTATCCATGCTGTGATTACTATTAGTGTACAACTTTTTCTTTTGCCTGGAATTAACAGTTTTCTGATTTAGACATTTGTTTGCTTTACTACATACATATCTGTAATTTAACTCCAAATTCTTCCCAGGTGTTTAAATCTCCTCTCTGTGTATTCAGACATATTAGGCAATAATAATAGTGACAATAATTACAAACACTCATGTAATGTTTACTGTGTGCCCAGCACTATTATACGCACTCTACGTAACCTAACTCATCTTCACTGCAGCCTGGAGAAGTAAGCCTGGAGAAGTAGGTGCCATTGTCGTCCCCACTTTATAGATGGGGAAACTGGGGCATAGAGAAAAACTATCTGGCTAGTCATAGGTGGGGCGGGTCTTAACTCTGGGCCTCAGTGTCTTCTCTTTGAAGAAATCTCTCCTAGAGCTTGTTGACTTGCTGAAAGCTGGTCTGGTGGCTCCCTCAGCTTCACGCACAGCTATTACTATGGTGTCTTCCCTTTGCCATCCCCCAGGAAATCCTTTTCACCTCTGTCTTATGTCAGATCCCCTTTCCCGGGGATACTATGTCTTTCTTCCTGTTTTCTGGATCCTGTGTCTTCCTCTTTCTTGGTTTACACCCTCATTTTGTGGGAGCACATCCTCCATTATATCCTTGAGAATGGATGCATGTCAGATGGATTTTATGAAGCTTTGCATATCTGAAAATGTCATGCAAAAATATACTTATTTAATATATGTAACTGTATAAATATATTTATAGAAATGTACAAGTTAGTAAATGCCATGGAATGTATTTTCTTTGACCCTGACACTAAATTTGTCTTTTTGGCTAGGTATAGAATTCTAGGTTTGAAATCATTTTTGTGCAGAGTTTAAAAAGCCTGTTTTCAAGCTCGTCCTTTTCTACTCACACACATATTTTCTCTACTTTTCAAAAAACTCTTCTTATTCAGTTGTTGATCTTCCATTTTTTAAAATTCTTTGTTCTATTGATTTCCATTTCTTTCTGTTTTGCTCTCCTTTCTGGTTGTTTTTTTAAAATTTTATCTTCCAAATCTTCTTTTGTGTCTCTCATTAATACTGTTATAACTTATTTTAAATAGCTTTTTTGTTTTCAGAATATTCCCTTCTAATAGCATGCTATTTTTGTTTTATGGATGCCACATCTTATCACTCTAAGGATATTAGTAATAGTTTTTTAATTTGCTTTTTTGAATAATAATATAGATACATGGTTCAAAAATATATACAATTTAAAAATATAAAAAGCTGTACAGTCTGAATTCTCTTACTCATCTTTCTCCTATCTGCTCGCTTCTCTCTAATACATATAACCAGGTTAGTTAGTTTTCTCTGCAAGATTAGGGTTTCTTTATACAAATAAAAGCAGCCGAGAACACATTCTTACTTTCTCCTGTTTATTTCACAAAATGTGGCGTACTAAACAAAAAAGAGATTCTCAGATTAGATGGAAAAAGAAGGATAGAAAATGATAGACTTGGCAAACAAGAACCAATAGAAACCTGGGGCTGTGTTTTTAACATCAGACCAGAGAGAATGGAAGGTGAAAACACAAGGGGTGAAGGTAGATGATTCAAACTGTTAAATACTAATAATTATAAAAAATATCGACACATTTATAGCTAATAATATATCCTTAAACTATGTAAAATAAAAACCAGCAGAAATAGTTAGTTCTGCCATTAGCCATTTTAACCCACCCTTGATCAAGCAAAGAAAAATAAGCTTTGCTGTAACATGAATTCTAAATTCTACAATCACAGAGAATTACATTAAAAATAAAAACTAAAAAGCTAGCAAAGATCATATTTAAAAACATTAAAGTATTTTAAATATGTTTTTAAGAGAAAATATAAATAATCTTAAAAAATATATAGAGATCGTCTTAGTCAGCTCAAGCTGCCATAACAAGATACCTTAGACTGGGTGGCTTAAGCAACAGAAATTTCTCTCTCACGGTTCTGGAGGCTGGAAGTCTGAGATCAGGGTGCCAGCATGGTCGGATCCTGGTGAGGACCCTTTTCCTGGCTTATAGACGGCTGCCATGTCGCTGTGTCTTCACGTGGTCTCTTCTTTGTGCATGCACAGAAGGGGATTGCAGAGAGAGAGCAAGCTCTCTGGTGTTTCTTCTTCTAAGGGCACTTATGTGCAGGCCCCGTCCTCACGACCTCATCTAACCCTAGTTACCTCGCAAAGGCCCCATCTCCGCATACCATCTCACTGGGGCTTAGGGCTTCAGCGTGGGAATTTTAGGGGGACACAAACATTCAGTCCCGAACAGAGGTGAACTTCAAGCGAAGCATTTTAAAGTTGATGCGGTAAAGCCAAACTCGCAGGTAGAGGGAAAATGATAGATTTGAATGCCTTTATTCATTCCTTTCCTATACCCGTGAACTTTCTTTCCTGTTAGAAGGAAATGAACTCTCCGCTGAATCCCTTCCCCTCTCCTGTAGGTATCTCTTCTCTCTCTTTTATCATCACCTTGCCCCTTCTGTGCTGGTACCTTCTCAAAGCAGATAACATGCAGTAATATCTTCCATTTCAAAAAATCCTCCCTTGGGGCCAGCCTGGTGACACAGCTTAAGTTCACACGTTCTGCTTCTCAGCGGCCCGGGGTTCATCAGTTCGGATGCTGGGTGTGGACATGGCACCGCTTGGCAAACGCCATGCTGTGGTAGGTGTCCCACGTGTAAAGTAGAGGAAGATGGGCATGGATGTTAGCTCAGGGCCAGTTTTCCTCAGCAAAAAGAGGACGATTGGCAGTAGTTAGCTCAGGGCTAATCTTCCTCCAAAAAAAATATCCTCCCTTGACCTCCAGTCCACTTTCAACCAAGATGTTTCACCAGATAAGTAATTCCTGTAAGCTCACGGACAAAACCTGCTGCTCTGTATGTGTTTAATGTCTTCTCCTGTTGGTTGGGTTTTGAGCCAGGGACTTGTTTTCTTGAGCCGGGATGGGGGAGGGGTCATTCCTCCTATAACCCTCCCCTGTGGTACAGATCTTCTCTGCAGGTCCTAGGAGTTTTAGTTAAGCCAACCCCACAGCCTTCAACTCTTCCTTTTTTATGCTCTAAGCTTCCATTCCCGCAACAGACTCTACATCCTTGCCAGAATCCTGCCTTCCCAAGGGTCTCTTAACTTTTTGTTTAGTGTTTTGATACAAAAACCTGACAAAGAAAACATCAATGACAGATCATTCTCACTTGTGAATACTGATGGAGCAATTATAAATGAAATGTTATCAAACAGAATCCAATCGTTCCTTAAAAGATCATTCATTCTGAGCACATGGTTCAACATTACAAAATCTATATATAATTCACCATAGTAACATATCATCAGAGAAAAGTGATTTTAAAAAGTATCAACATCCATTCTTGATTTTAAAAAGTATCAAAGTTGAGGGGCCGGCCTGTTGGCATAGTGGTTAAGTTCATGTGCTCCGCTTCCACGGCCTGGGGTTCGCACGTTTGGATCCCAGGTGTGGACCTACACAGTGCTTGTCAAGCCATGCTGTAGCGGCATCCCGCATATAAAATAGAGGAAGACTGGCACTGATGTTAGCTCAGGGACAATCTTCCTCACACTCATACCAATAAGTATCAAAGTTGAGCATTCCATGCTTCTAGTTCCTTCCCAAAACTTACCCTAGGGATTGTCACCAAAGCAATGGGGCTGGATTAATGATATCCAGAATTCTTCATCTTGGGTTGAGTCCTTTATCTTTATAAATTGTCTTCCTTCATCTTGTTTAATACTTTTGTCCCAGAATTCTACTCTGATTAAGATGGAGATCTTGCTTCTTTTCTTTTGGCACTTCCTCATACATTGATGATGTCCAGAATCCTTTATTTTGGATCGAGTCTTTCATCTTTGAGAAGTATCTTCCTTTGTCTTGTTTAATTCTTTTATCCCAGAATTCTACTCTGATTGATATTAAGATGAAGGCCTTGCTTCCTTTCTGCTGACGTTCTTTGATACAGCTTTGCTCATCCTTTTTACCATTATCATTCTGAATCTTTGTGCATTTCTTTCTATGCGATATATGAAAGATATGTTTTATACTGTGCCTTCTGGTTTAATGCTTCTTTTTTATGTCTTTCACTACAAGCTCTATTTTGCTTTGTTTTGTGTTCCTTCTGTAATTTGGAACGGTTAAAGTCTTTTTTGGTCCTTCAAGTGGTTACCTTTATAACATTATAAAATATAATTAATATTCTATTTATTAAAACAGTATCTATTAACTGTTGACTATGAGTAATGACAAGATTTGTAGACTCCTATTTCAAGAGTCCTTTTATTTGTTGTAAGTTTTCCTTGAACCCTGTATTTGAGAGTTTGTTCAATTGGGTCAGTTCTTTACGGATGCAAATCCTATGTATATTTAATTTTCTCTCTTGCAT